ATGAGCTTTAAGGTCGCTTCCAACCCAAACTAGCCCGTGATACTGATTTTACCTTAAGGGGCATCAGGTGGAAAAAAAAAAAAAAACAAACCACAAAATGCCAGTATTTTTATTACAGTTTTTTCTCCTTTATATGCTGTTCCCTTCCACTGGCAGTACCTGTCTCTGAAAATCAAGGATCCAAACACCATCGAGGTATTTGCTCTGAGGAAAACGCACGATAAGGAGAGCTCATCCCAGTGCTGGGTCTCCTCACGCCCGTCACCATCCCACCGGCTGGGTTTCCTTCCCCGCTGACTACCTGAGCCACAGGGTAGGTAGTTTTGAAGTAACTTTAAGAGCTTAAATCTGAGATTCTCCACATTTGTAAAGTAAGTGACATGCACACCATCCACAGGCATGAAACAGGCCCAGGCTCTCCATTCAGCATCCCTTGTGGCAGCCAAAACACTAGTCATCGTGGTAACTTTGTCATGCTTGGTGACTTAGTTGTACAGCTCAGTGTTTCCTTCATTATTTCTTCAACCATCCATCACTGTCACCTTATGGTGTCATTAGACATAAATCTTTTAAATTAGTATGCTTGAAAATGCCACAATTTTCACTAAAAATGTGGAGCTGAAATACTTCTAGTTTTAAATGTTACTTCTTGTCAGCCTAATGCACTGTTGCAAGACAGTCTTGCCAAGAATAAATTTGAGAACAGCATTTAAAAAACGGACCTTTATATTCAGCTTAATAATGCAAACAGTGTGCCTCTCCTTGCTGGCTGGATGTTTTCCTTAACTTTTTTTATATTTCTGTTTTGTGTTGTTGACTCCCTTTTTTCACACATAGATAATGTAATTGCTCATGTTTGAGGCTTTACTGTATCTTTTATCTTTCTTCTTTCTGTCAGTCTCACATCTTGCTTTTCACCCTCTTTTCAAATGAGTTTGCTGTTCCTTTTTAATTTACAGGTGATTAAATGCTCAGGCTTCGCTTGTGCTTTGTTGTGTTTCTTAAAATGATTTAATTAGGTCTCACTTTATTTTTAGGCAGTCTTCTGTGCTGCTGAGTGATGTGGAAATATATAATGTAATTTCATTTTATCCAAGCAGAGCTTAGTCCTTTTGAAAATCATAAGTAGGACAAGACTTGCATCAACCAGTTTCTCACTGGCATTTAATAATAAAGGCTATTGCTTCCATCTGTGGGAACTTTAAAAGATCTTAATCTTAAGTATGCATTTCTTTGCTTCTAATCATAGTCCTTGCCTGGATTCCTTGTCATTTTAGATAAGCATAGAGAAACTGCAGGTATTGTGCTGTTTCTTATTTCCTTTTTGAACTTGTTATCTCACCTGCACATTAATGGTGGAAATAGATTTGATAATACAGGTACAGCAGCAGTAAGTCTGGAACAGAGTTGTTCTTACCAAGCGGCGTACAAAATGGTAACCTTGCAATTAGTGGTGAACAGCACATGGGATTTCTAGGCTGGGGCCTTGAGCTGATCTTGCCATGGTCTTGGGGAGGGAGCAATAGCACACTGCTTCAGCTGGGCTTCTCTTGGGTCCCATTTCTTGACATCTTGCCTGTAAGAAGTAGTGTTTATTACATTTTGCTTTGCTTGCCAACCCACCGGCCATAAAATCCTGAGGGGAAGATTGGCATAACAGTGAAGGTGGTGAGATCTGACTATAAATGTAGTTTTGAAGTCTGTTTTCCTTTTACATCCTTGCTGAAATGCTTCAGTTAGCAACAACCTCCTTTGATCAGCTTGGAGACATACTGGAGTCCTTTGATGCTTTTACCCCAAATCTCCTTGCTTTTGGCTTTTAATCAGTACCCAAAACTAGTTACAAACAAAAGGGGGCGGGGAGGAAATAATCTGAAGGACAAAGAAGCCATGTGTGACAAATGCAAAATGTTTTTTGGAGAAAAGTTCAGAAACTGCAAAATACATTCACAGACAGTTCAGGTTCATGGAATCATTGAATCGAGTGGTTTGGGTTGGAAGGGACCTTAGGGATCACCTAGTTCCAGCCTCCTGCCGTGGGCCAGGGACACATTCCACTAGAGCTGGGTCCTTGAACCTGTGTTGGGATTTTTTTTAATCTTTCTGGTTTTTCTACCGTGATGGAAGTCAAGTCAGTGCATCTAAGATTTAGAAGAAGAAAGTTTAAAATCCTTAGGTTAGGATGTAATTTCAGGCACATAGAGGCGTCTAGCAGAAGTCAGGGTGAGTTGATTTTAGGCATGTACCAGATTTATAGTATGTGGAAGAAAATATGTCTTGCTATTTAAAATTATATTTGGTTTTAAAAGTACCGTGATCTTGGTTAGACATTAATTTTATAGGTAAGATATACATGGATTTGATATACGTAACAAAAAGAAATCCTTAAAAACCTGTCATGTTTTCAGTAACTCCAAATGGCTGGGTCAAGTAGAGGAAGAGGACGTGCTTCATTTACCTTCAACATCGAGGCCATTGGGTTTGCTAAAGGTGCTGCTCTGCCTGATGTCACCTGTCAACCTCCACCACCCTTTCCTGTAAGTACAGCAGGTATCTTCGAGCACACTCTCTGTGTTCAGGTAAAGAGTATTCACTCTCATGTTTAGATAATGTAATGGACACACCTAAGCTCTTTAGGTCAGTTTTGAAGTATTTAAGGTAAGTGATTGTTCTTCATACTGTTACTTCTTGTCCCTTTGCTAGCTGTCAAATCCGGCATTTAACTAGATTGCAAGATGTTCATTCGTTAAAGTCCTCATCATGATTTGATTTTCTGGACATTACAGTAAGAGAAATGCTGGATATCTGAATTTGTTTGAAGTTAAGTTACACTAGCCTTTGAAGCTGTGAATGGATTTGCCGATTTTAGAAATTTACCATTTATGCAAACCTGAAAGATTTTGGATGATTGTCTCATACCTCAATAGCAGCATGTGAAAGCAATTTGAAAATAACTGAAACATATTTTATGCAATTAAGGAAACTTAATTGAGTTTTGGCATTTGGGATGTATTTGAAAATTAAAGGGGAAGAAAGTGTTTTCTGACTGCAGCTTGCTGTGTAGGGAAGCTTGGACAATCCTGAGGCAGAAAAGCAGTCTTACAATGTTGCAGTTTTATATAAGAGAACTTACTGCTTATGGCACAATTTGATCAAGGTGCATGTAATTTTTCTCAGTCTCACATGTTGTGATACAGAACTTGAAAGTTTGATGTATAGCTGGTGCTGTGCTGAGACTGAATAGTTACTTCACCCAAGGTTTGACTTTTTGAGCAAGATGTTATATATCCTTAGTCCACGTTTACAGTTAAATTACGTGATTTCTTTGATACTAAGCCTGTTCCTAATGTGAACGTTGCAGTCTGCTTGACAGCACAAGTAAACTGAATTCTGGGGAACTACAGCTTCTGCAATTACAGTCAGCAAAGGATCAGCTCCTACGGTCATATACCATGAAGAAGTTGAAGGTGCTTTCTTCTTTCTGTGAATAAATTTTAAGAACTAAGTTAAACTTCTAAAGGGAAGTCTAGTGCCATTAAAAATAAAAACAACAAAAAACGAGTCAACCCAGTGGCATAACTAGGATTGATAAAAACTTCAAGTGTTAGGTTTAATGATTGGGCAGTGTCTAAAAGTGTATTATAGCTGTTGACTGACTTACAGTGAAATTAAGCAGTGAATTGTTATTATTGCATATTTCTAATATACACAGTCTGAGTTCTTGCGAATTTCCTGTAGGTGCAATTAGAAACCCAGTTAAGGAGCATCAGTGTACCATCAGCAACATTAGTGATTTAAAACATGGACCAGGTAGCAAATAGCTGCAAGCAATAAATTCCTTTCATAATCCCGCTCTGGGACTTGTGGTAGCACTTTGTGCTTTGCAGCTTACCGCTCAGGTATTGATCGTACATCATCTGTGGTGTGAGAGAAGCATAGTCTGTTCTGTAATTCTGTCTCTGGCTTTAGTGTTCTGTATACTTTTAAAACTGGGTTTGCTTATATTGCTTTTCCAATTTCAAGCTTCATAGTTAAAAAACACCAAAAATCCAAACCTTAACAATTCATTTTAAATTCAGCTGACAGAAACTGAACTGCATGAGGGTGAGGGCCTGTGTGCTACCTGGTTGTATAACAGCACACAACCTATTTCTATGACAAAAGTCATGGAAGTGGTGTCCCTCTTACTCAGAGCAATCATACTTAATGCAGCTAAACCACTGTTTTAGAAGAGGTTAAGGCCCAGAGCTACTCAAGGAGAGGAGCGATGTGTTCTGAGTAAGTTAGACTGGTGTGAAAAACTGGTTTTGGCAACTAAGAGCTTAGCATGACTATGAATGACTGTTTCACAGTTCTAATACTTTTTTCTTTTGCTTGGTTTCTTGATGTGTTTTTAAGAAAGATACAGCAAATTCATAAAAGGTATAAATTTAGTTGTAAGCATAGTTGTGCTTCTCAGAATGCAATGAAGTATACTTGTGAAGTAGTATAATGCGTAGATGAACTCTTCTGTGATTAGTTGTGTTTATTGTAGCTTTTGTTAGTGTTCCTGTGTGTTTGATGGCTATTAAGACCTTATAAATAATAAACATAATTTGTACAGAGTACAGACAATAAGCCAGTGCCTCTGAAAACAGGAGAAGATGAAGATTACATGTTGGCCTTAAAACAAGATCTTAGAGGAACTATGAAAAAAATGCCATATTTTTTGGCAGTAGAAGAAGATCACGAAGGTTTGTCTGTGTCCTTTTTATTTTTATATACATACCTTCAGTAGTTGTTATTCTGTGAATGACGATCTAGTGAAATGCTTGTGGTGAAGATGTATTTTGTACTGATAACGAGGAATAAAATTGGCAGCTTATGATAATAGGGAGCTTTATTGCTTTTACTTTTACTGAAGTTGTAGGTCACGCACCTACAAGTGCTGTAACTGGAAAGCAACTATTGTGTGAAAGAGAGAGATATGAAACATGTATTCCATTTGATACACAGAAAGAAACTTTTAGACCAACTATATGCAGTCTTTTCAATTATATGCCAATACAAGCAAAATAGGCATAACTACATGTTGAAATACCCCAAAATTTTGCATTGCAGCAAAAACTGAGTAAATACTAGTGTTCTATTTTAATAGTGTAAAGACATCCTTAAAATAATGTTCTATTTAGTAGTTGGACGTTTTTAAAGGTACTAATTTCTTTTTTTTCCCCCTGTGTCCATTCAGGAAAGATTGGTAAGTATTACTGACAAGTCACCTGGAATATGAAGATTGAGATGAAGATAAGTGATTTACTGATGTTGGCATCAGAAGCAGAGCTGGATTAGAAGCCAGAGTTTGGTCTTACTCTGCTTGACCTGGGAATGTCTTTTGCTTATATATGTAATTAAAATTATCCCCATTTTTTATTGTTTGATAACAATTAATGGTTTGCTATACTTGACATCCAGTCATACATCACAATACTGTTAAAATCCAAGCTTCTGATTGGAAAACAGAGCTTGAAAGAATGGGAGCAGGGTAGGAAGACTTTAATGTCTGTCTGCCTTGCTGTGGGGGTATTGTAAACGTAGCAGCCACAGGAGGTTATTACTGTGAGAGTGAGGGGATGAAGGCACGGACCCCGGTGAAAGATCGAAGACGTAATTTATTTGCTGGCTGTGTTTATATATCTTCTGCTGACAGAAAGGTTCCACTTGGCTACAACTAATTGGTCATTCTTATCTGTTCGCGCCTTAAACTATACATTTCATTTGCTACCTACTACTGCCCGCGCGACACTACGTAATAGAGCTGTTAACCCTTAACTTGGCATCTCTTCTCTTCGTCCTTGCTCCAGATTCACTCTTGTTCGTGTTCATCTTTTCCCTCTGGGGCCTTCTTCTATCAGCTCCATGCAGTCATGGCCTCCTGTCGCTGCTAGGAATGTCCCCACATGAGAGGGGCTTCTTTTTGTTTGTGATTTTTGCCTAGTTGTGTCTTCCTCCTGAGTACATGTTCTGAACGGCAAGTCCTGTCACAGGAAAACAGGAAATACAGCATAGCAGGAAATGCCACCTGTTGGACCTGGGTCCAGTCCATGCAATACAGAGTCGTTAAAAAGCTTATAAAATGTTTAAGAAATCCAAAATGGCCAAACACTAGATAATCTTTTCCTTGCTGTGTTGTGCTGATCTTGAATAACGAGAGCTGACTTGAACTCTAAAATACATGGTTTAATTTCCACTCCAGACCATCAAAATATTTTCTGACTGGATATTCCTGATGTTGATACGATAGAGGTTAATTTTCCAATGCCCTCTGAATTCTTGATAATTTTTGTTCATGGGGTAAGGGTTAATTCTCGATGTTTTTGAGGCTGCATGCAGGGGTTTTTATTAGGCTTTGAACGTAACACTGATTAACACACATTATTGATTGTCCACTTATTCTCACATTAAAGCACTGTTTAAAATGGAGCAGCATGCTGCAGTGCAAGCTGTGAACACTCTGCTGCCCAGATGTTGTGACTCACAAAAGGCAGAATATTTCCTCTGAGCTGCATCTGGAGCCCAGCAGTCAGCAGGACGCAGCAGGAAGCCGTAGTGCAGCACAGGCACAGCCCAGGGTGGACCCTGGTGATGTGGCCAGGTAAAACCTTGGTTACAGGACAAGGAAAACAGATCTGATCTTCCTTTCTAGATCCCTATTATGAATTCCAGATTACTCTTTTATCACATCTTCTCTTTCATCTTCTGAGGAAGCAAATTTCAATCTCTTTGGGTTCTCTCTTCCTAGAGGCTTGCAGTGCTCTTGATCTTTGTCAGGCTTGAAGTTTGCAGTTTCCTTTTCAGGCACACAAAAGGAAACTGCTATGCCTGAGAGCTGGTCAGGGTTATTTCCAAGGAACCAGCCGCTTCATGCGGACATGTTATCTCTGTTTTCCAGCTCTGCCTCATCTGATGGTTCTTAGTGTTCACCTCAAAATCATCTTCTGTTTCTGCAGCCTTCTTTCTGAGATTGAGTGATAGCTCTCTGTTGCTGAGTGTGCTTCTTAGTAGAACTGCCAGCTTTGAAGACTTCTACAAAACCTGGCAGTTGCAGGGAAAACAGGTAGTCAGCCACTTGTACGCTCAGATAATGCTTCAGATGTTCTCATTGTCTCCGCAAGGGTAAGGTGGTACATGGAGGGAACTTTTTACTGATCCTGCAGTTGTACAAAAATGCCTCATCTGAGGGGTGGGATATAATTACATCAGCAGTGGTCTGCAGCTTAAAAAGCTTGCTTTCATCTCAGTAATGGTATGCAGTTGTCTCTGGGACTGCATTATGTGGCAGAAGTGGCCTAGCTTTAAAAAAATCACTTTTTTCCTCCAGGGTAGATAATTTTTACCTGATCTTTCCTGTGATCTGCTTTACAGCCCTTTGCTTCCCTTGTATTTCATGAAAACGTTTGGCAGGACTAAGAGAAATGCAGGAGGGGTACTGTGGGCAGGAGCTCCTTAAATTTGCTTTGCTACAAGAGCAAATGGGTTGTTTTAAACCCTCAGCACAACATCTGTGAGCCAAATGGTCCTTTGAAGTGTGAGAAGGGAAACATTTGAATTAGTTAAGGCACAGCTATCTATCTTCCTTTCATTATTCAGGTAGTAGATGAAAGCCATGTCTCATACTACCTGTCAATTTCATTGTGTTAGCGTGACATATAGGGTAGATTTTCATCATTCATTTCAACACTCATGAGGAGCAGGCATATTCTATATGTTTTCCTCACTTTATAAGTTATGAATCATTCATATTTTTCTTGTTGGTGTATCTGCTACGTCTGGGTGACTGTCACCTTGGCAGTGGTTTGTAATTAACCCAGTAGCCATGAGCGGCCAGAGTCAGAGATATTTTTTTATGATGGCATCAGCAATTAGTTCTTCACTAAGAGCTTTGAGCTGAAATCAGAACTACTGTTTTCTTTCGCTACAGTTTCCTACAGCATCTGTGAAGGCCACTTACATTAAATGCCCCTTGAGGCACTGTCATTTTAAATACATGCTCTTTGTTGCACAGTTTCAAGTAGGTCTTCTGTTTTCACTCATAACAAAGTTTAAAATTGAGCTTTGTTTCTGATGTCTTCCTTCTCCCTTCCTTTTCTCTAGTGAGTATGTTAGAAGTCTTTGACTGTAAAGGGCACAGTCTGTGTTTCTTCCCACTTTTTGTAGAATACCCACAAAATTATCCCTGTTTGGGTAATGAGTTACTAATGCAATCAGAATCAGTAATTCTGCATTGAGTGGATTTTGTAGTTGGGCATTATAATTTGGGAAGAAAAAATGGGACCAAATTAAAAATACTTAAGTTTTGGTACTGCTTTTGTCATTAGAGATTGTACAAAAGTTTTCTTGGAGTATGAATGGATGTGCTATATAACTACTGTACCATTTACAGTGCATTTCTCAGTTTAGTTCCTGTGCCTGGAAAGAGATTAAATGGACTAGAATGTGTTGATGCTGTTCAGCACACATCTCTGTTACGCTGCAAAGCTTTGCCATTGCGGAAGTAATGAATGGTTTGGGAGCCAATTGTGATCATTCTGAGACCTGGGAATTCTGGGTGCTGTCTGTGATGAGCACTGGGATGAGTACTGTGATGAATGTCACTGGCTGCTTTTATAGCAAAGGTTTGATTGTGAAACTCTTGAGAAAAGAGTTAGCATTCAGTTGTTATCTCAACCAGGTTTCCTTCACTGTATCTGCACTTCATGTTTTCACGCATTCCAAGAATAGAAGTTTCAATTATAATCATTTTTGGGGGTGGTGGGTTTGTTGGGGACTTTTTTAGGGTGGGTTAATTTTTTGATTAACAGGAGATAGCCCAAAAAAGCAACGTGGCATTCAGGGGTTTTGCCCTTTTTTGGGTGGCTGTAAAATCCAGCTCTTGCAAGTACTTAGCTAATGATTAGTCAGTCCTGGGAATTATTACAAGAACTGCTCAGAGTAGTAACATTAAACTGTTTTTTAAGTGTTTGACAACAGCACTAGAAAGTGTTCAATGTGGAATTAAAAAGTACAATGTGGAATTAAAAAGAAAACATCAGGGGCAGTGTTTGGGTTGCCTTTTATTTAATGGAATTCAGTAACTCTTTCTATCCTTTATAGTAATTGAGAGGTACAGTAAAAAGTATCAGGACAAGGAGCATGCAACATGGACGCCAGGTAATACCTGAGATTACCAAAGGCTAACTCTGTATTAATCTATGAAATATTCTGCTCTTTTAAATGTTAAACTCATTATTTTTTCAAGAAAAAAAAAAATGCAAACCCTTACCACCAAGTCATGTATTCCTTGTTGAGGGTTACGTCCTTTGAATGTTTTCAGATCAAGAAGTATTGTTTTCTCAAAAAAAAAAAGAAAAAAAGAAAAAGATAAATCTGGTCTTACTTATTTACTCAGTTGAAACAACTGATGAGCAGCACAAGCGCAATCTTTAGCTCTCGCTCTAGCTTGCTTTCTTCCTTATTTGCCATGCAGATACCAGTTCTGAACTGGGAGCAAACATTGATGTAACTAAAAATAACCCAACCCAATGTCTCAGTCACAGGTAGCTGGGTTTTGTAACGTTAGACTTCACAACTGTATCTGTATAGCTCACTACTCCAAGTTTAATAATGGAATGTAAATTGAAGGGTATGTGGGCCACTGGAAGGGCTGAACCTTGGCCTCTTTGGGGCAGATGCCTGTGACATGAAGTAGGTGAAATGGCAGTCCTCAATTCAAAGTCCAGCCAGAATTGCCTGAAACTTAATGTGCTAAAACATGTAGGCATGCATGGAAATAGGATCAAGCACAACAGTGGCCTCTGCCTGGCCTTGGTGGGTGGCAGGGGGAGGATTGCTGCTGTAAATCATCGTTCATACGTTTCTGTACAGATTGGAGGAGGCTCCCAAGAGAGATGAAGCCAAGGAAGAAGACCAAAAAAGGTACATATTTTTAAGAAGCGTTTAGTACACGCTAGTTGAGTGATAGAAGACATACTGGAATTGGTTAGAGGAAAAAAATGGTAGAAATGTTAATTAGTCTGAATAATCAGGACTTTTGGCAGATTTTTTCTAAATAGTTTACAAGTCTGCCTGTCTTTTGTGGTTTTTGCTTTGCCTCTATAGGATGTTTTAACTTACTGTAACAGATTTATAATCCTTTCCTGCCTTTCATATTGGTGTACCATATTAACATACAGGATAAGTAACAGTGAAAGATTAAAAAAAACCCACAAATCTTTTTGGTTTGAAAATTTATATCTTTAGTCAACACTCAGCCTTCTTCTATTCAAGGAATAGCTGGCTGTTCAAGTTTCCTTTATATTTTGGGTTTTTTAATTATCTGTTTATGATTTGGTTGGCTTTTGCATTATTTTAAGCCTTTTATATGTGATTTAATGTAGGTTATTTTCTATTTTCCCTGGTTTTACTTTTTTTGTTTATTTTCAGCTTGCTTCTGCAGAATTGTGAACCAGATCCTTCAACAGCAGTTGGAGCTGGTATTGGTTGTTCTTACAGGAAAAAACTTTTTTATTACACAGCATCATACATGTATTTGCTTTCAAAGTGTTTTCTAGCATGCATGACTCTAATTTTAAGTTCTCTGTAGAAGTCTGTTGCTCTGTTGATGTGAAGTAACACTTGGCCTCCTGTATCTAGCTGTCTGTTATACATAATGGTTTACGTTCTTGTTCTCTTTGTCCTAGTCCTTCATGTGTCATTTTACAGTTAAAAGATAAAATAGAAAAGGAAAAGGGAATGTGCAGTAGTCATGGAGACCAGCTCAGCTGGAAGCTTTGTTCCTTTTAAGAGCGTCATTGAGAAGCATGGTGTTAAAGGTAGACTGCAAGATTCAACTGAAAATTAAATACTTACTTGCAAGGTTCAACTGAAAATTAGTACTTATTTGCAAAATCTCTAAGGGTGAAACCAGTACATCCTACTTTTGGTTGGTTGGTTTTGTTTGTTTTTTAATAAGAAACTGGATTGGATTTTGTAAGCCTGTACACATAATTAGCTCCCCAAGATCCAATGAAGTCATAAATGCCAGTTTATTATTCCTTGTTACAGTGATGTGATTATCATGAACTAAGAAAGAATCACTGCTCACTGTTGGGGATTTTCCCTCTTACTATTGTGCCAGTTTATCTGTTTGCTCTTAGAAGTATGTATTTGTACATAGTTGTAATGGCAAAGATCAGCTGACCATCAGATTGGATTGAAAAAAAAACAGAGGTTCCTCTAGAAACAAAAATCATAGGGCTTAGGTGTTTTCTGGGAATTACAGAATCCCAGACTGGTTTGGGTTGGAAGGGACCTTAACGCTCACCCAGTTCCAACACCCTGCCATGGGCAGGGACACCTTCCACTAGAGCAGGTTGCTCAAAGCAACCTAAATCCTATAATCTGAATCCTGATGATACAGAGGCCATAAAAAGTCCGTGTGACTCAGGAGGTTTGTAAATAGCTGAGCAGTTACACATGTGGTATCTTTGTTCCATTTTGAGGACAGCCATCTTAGGTGACACTTCATAATCAAGTGGTTACAGTGGAGTCAAAAGAATCTGCACCAAAATTCAAAGAGACTTCCTACCACTGTTCTCCCTTTGTGTATTGCAGGAGTGGGTTTGACATCACTGCACAGTTATATTTACAGGCATAGCTTCCTTTCTGCACACCTCTCCCTTTCCCTTTCTGGTTTCCCTGAATGTTTTAACCTCAGCTTTTGTAGGCCAGTCATATCCATATGTATATAGCAATCACATGTATGTATTTAAGCCCAAGTACTGTGAGAACAGGTATTTGGGAAGATGAGATTGTATTCCATTGTACCTCTAAGCTACATGGATGTAAGGAGCTGGTTTTCTTGAAGTTCTAACAATGGGTCATTCTCTAATTTTATGATAACTGCAGAGACACCCAGCATTTAAGGAAAGATCTGCATGTCTGTTTTCGTTTCCAGGCTGTTTGTTCTATACACATTGTCTCTAAATGTCTGCAGAGATGGTAATTTTGAATCACACTTTCCACTTGTTTTCCATAAAAGCCTACTTCATTCTGAATGTGTTTGCTTTGACGCTGTTCCTGTGTTATTACAGAGCAGTTTGACTCCCCTCAGCTCTGTGCAGTGCTTTTGTCACATAATCACTTCCTAGGCAAAACACTGAAATTAACTGAATGTTATTTATGAAAAATGGTTTTGACAAAATGCAGTTCTCTTCGTAGCAGCTCTTAGTGTTCTGCTTCCTTGAGTATTAGGCCAGATAAAATACATAACTTCATCAGGTTACTATCTGCCCCAGAAAGGACATCCCCTCCATCAGTACACACTATTTTTCTTTCTGATGCCACTTAGTGCAGCCCAGTGTAGAAAAGGGGCAAGTTACATGAGCTTGTCCATGAGAAGCTGTGTGGCTGTGCCAGTTTGGCACTTTACACAGGCGTTTTTACCTTACTGAGGAGAGCTAATTTGTGTTAGGTACAGCCCTGTGTTGTAAGTTTGTAAAATGCTGAATAGGTCATGTAAGGAGAAGTTCTGCAGGAAAGGACTGAGATAGTCCTGTTGTGGAAATGAGACTTGTCACAGACCTCTATAAAAGCTGTCACGTCTCTCACTGGACCTCTTTGGTTCCTCTCATCTACTTGGAATTGGAGCAACCGTAGTGTAGGGTGCTACATTCAGGTAGCTCTTACCTGGAATGCTATTTTTGACCTTTGCTCCACCATATAGTGAAGTAGGATGAAGAGGGTGGATTGTAGGGATTAACTTAATGAAGAGTATGTTTATGAATTAAGGTAGAAATACACACTGTGGACTCATTAGATGAGAGCCAGCTGGAGTCCAAAAGCCATCTTGCTGCAGTAACCATGCCTTCTGTGTTGGAGCTAATAAACTCTTGCCTGCCTTTTATTGTCTATGTGAACCACCCAGCTCTTACTAATGTGTTGCATGAATTGGTAACATTAATGAGTTCATTTTCAAGATGATGAAAAATAACAATTGATGTTTTGTTCTAGTTACCTAACATACTGCGAGTACGTAGGTGAAAAGTATTTTGATAGGCTGAACTTTGGCCAAACCTTTGGTCAACTAACTGTTCAAAGTGAATTTAAGACTGGGCCCGTAGGCATCACTTTTACAAAAATCAGGCAAACGATGTAGCTCAAAGCCTAAGGTAATGCTAATACAGGTGGCATGGATTTTCCTTGACATACTCAAGATGTAGGCTCTTGAGAAGAAGTAAACCAAGAGAATTTGTGTTCTTCCATATTAAAAGAAAAATAATAGTGATGTGTTTTATTCCAGCAGGTGCAAAACCAAACAAGGCAAAAAGCTGTGAGCCTAAAAGTAATGTGGATGTGTTGAAAAAAATTGAGGTAAGATATGCACACTCAAATTCCTGAAGGAAAATGAAACTTCAGTATGTTTTTTGGTACACATGAAATAACCAGAGCAGCATTTTTCTGGCCTTGTCTTGTTACTCTGTCAGACAACTGTTCTGCAATGTGGTAGCACAGGGGAGAGGATAAGGGTAGAACCTGGCTGTGGAGAAACTGTTTTCTTTGCTCCTGTTTGACCTGAACACAACAACCAGTTGTTCTGCACTGGGTAGTGTAACAGTTACTACTAGAGCTTATTGAGGGACGAGTTGGTGCCAGAGCTTTTAAATCTATTGCTTTGGCAATCTACTGGTGTTGGAAATTAAACAACTTAGTAAGCTGAGAAAGAAGAAACACACAGAAACTTAGGAGGAAGGTGATGTTAGTTTTGGAGGTGAGTACCCACCATGTGGGAATGGGAAGCTTAGAAGTGAAACAGCCTTGTATTTTTTCTCTTGGTGAAACACCAGTTGTTTCGTGCAGACAGATTATTATAATCAGAATGTGGTATTGCTTTATCAAGTGAGACATGGCCTTGTACTGTCAATTACTCTAACAGCAACTGGTAAAGGGAAATCATCTCAGTTTATTACACGAAACATACTTTTCTAGACTTCAAGTCCGATGGCTAATGATTGATCAAGTAAGTCCTCATGGAGTTCTTATGTTTCACATTGTGGTGTTTTAAATACGGACCAAAAAGCATTTGCACCGCATTGTTGTGCTGGCTCTCTTGCTGTTAACTTGCAGTGTAACATTTTGGTAGTGGGGAGGACATGCTGTTGCTGTAACACGGGATGACCTTGTAAGGAGATTGCCTTGTGGCAGGAGTTGGAAAAGAAGGATGATGAAGAAGAAAAATCTGAAGATGAGAAAGACAAAACAAAAGACAAAGAAGGTGAAGATGATGAAGAAGCAGAAGAACCAGAGGAATATGATGAAGAAGAGCAAGAAGAGGTATAATGTTGATTTTCCTATTTACAGGAAGTCTGGTCCCACTCATTAAGTAGTGTGATGAATGTCAGACAAAGAAATGCCCTGAGCTTCTCTGAAAGGGAAAGTCGTAGTGAGAGGCATTATTACATTCATTTTCATTCATTTTCTTCATTGCATTATATTGTTGTAGTTCAAGTGGGTGTGTTAGACTTGTTACTTCTGAAGAGCTCAGAAAAAAGATCTCACAAACAGGAAAGTGTCCTGCCACAAATCAATACATAAAATTATTCATTTTTATCATTAGAACTGTGATGCTTCTTCTTTCATAGATACCAGGATTTCATTAGGGTGTTTTCCTCTTCCCCAAGAAATAAGGAAAGAAAAAAACCTATTACTGTTGCAAAACGTGGGTGCTCAAGCAGTTCCAAGCATGTTTCTTTCACAGGTTGTCTCCTTCACAGATGCAGCAATAGATGGTTTTTTTCTTTAATTTTGTTTAGGAAAATGACTACATTTCTTCATATTTTGAAGACGGAGACGACTTTGGTGCTGGCAGTGATGACAATATGGATGAAGCAACATACTAGCTATTGTTGCTGGGTAGTATACTGCTCAAGCCTTACATTACCTGAAGTAGAATTGTGGAGGTGGGCCAAGTACCAACAGAACTAATGCTTAAGCTCTGTTGGTTTTAAGTATACTCTACAAAAACATGTTGGACAATTGTTTTTGATTGCACTATGCTGTAAAACAGGATATGGGATCCTTTGTTTTGTTCTTTTGCCAAATATTTCACAGACATGCGCCTTCTTAAGGCTCTCTGGAATGCCTACTGATGGATTAAGTTACATGATACTGTATTGTCTCTGCACAGAAAAAGAATGTATGCATGTCAATCAAACTTGTGCCTAAGCATTTGCACTAGTCAGTTGTACGCTTCAGCAGTCAAGTCTTGCAAATAGTGAAATTCTTGATGACTGCAGCAAAAGCAGAGATCTGGCCTTTATAGATATAAGCTGCTCATATTTGGCAGCTACTTCTCCAAAGGAATTTATGTAACTTCTGAATTCAGGTGACTAAGAATAATTAATGACTAAGCACTTTAATGTAAACTGACTTGAGAGTACCTTAGTAATATGGACAAACAACATGATAATATTTCGAAGAGCTATTATTCTAGTTAAAAGAACTAATTATTTTTAGTATCTTGGTAAAAAGGGTCTGTAGTACTTAACAATGTGAATAAGATTTAGGAATAAGCATTAAGTAATAATTAAGGGTAATTTAATTTAGAAAGAATATATGGTAGAATTTTAAATTCGAGAAATCACAGAATCCTGGTTTTCACCAGTGCACACAGATCAGTGACAAGAATGTCAGTCCTTTCTTTGCCTCAGTTTCTCCACCCCTCAAGGTGATACTAACTTTCTTATCTGTTAAGTGAAATGGCAGATGATAGGTACCTATGTAACTATTAATAATTATTTATTTATTTACTTTCTAAAGACAGCAGCTTAACAGACAGCAGATTAATACAAAAAAAACCCAACCAACCCAAACAGAAAACAAACCAACCAACCCCCATAAACAACCCAAAAACATAGGAAGATAATGTAATGAAGTATTTTAGTGCGTGAGGTTTTAATTAAGAAAAGAAGGCAATAATGTTGAGAATAGCAAAACTAGAATGTTTGGAAATACCCATTTTACTTAGGAACTGACAGCTGAGGTGTAAACTTATTCCTGGGATTAGATACTTGAAGAACACAGTGAGAGAGAATTCTCTGTGTCCTGTTGTCCTTTGATGGTACAAAATATCATTGATCAGTGCTAATACATTACTTTTGATCAGGGTTTTTTGTTTCAGTGTTTGTTTTGTTTTTTCACTTTCTTACAACATTCTGTTCCTTATAACCACTGCTGTTATCAGATCTAGTGAAAGAACAGTTTTAAACCAAAACCAATTCTTTTATCAGCCAAGGAAGCTACAGAAGTTTCCCTTTTAAGTCTGGTGTTAAGAAGTACTTTACCTCGCTGCTGACTGGAAAACAGTACTGCATTATTCTGTGAACTCCTGTATACAGTATGCATTTGATCAGTAAGGTGTAGCATTCAAGTGTTCTGCTACAATACATATCAGATGTAAAGGAAATGGAACTAAAATGCTATGCAGGTCACACCCCAGAGGTATAACAATTTTATTTGGAAGTGTTTGTACCTATACAAACAATGTTTAATAAACATTCTGCTGCATTGCATAGCAAACATACTCTGTTTTCTTTTAACATCACACATGACAGCAGCTGTTTCTTGAGCAGGTGTGACAGTTTCTTCCATGGTACACAAAAGAGATGAAGATACTGTGAACAAGGTAAGCACGCTGAAAATTAAATTCGCCTCTAGCATGACTTAGTATTTGCTTCCGCTACATAAGGTGAACCGTGAGACTCCTTGTTTCTCACAGAAAGAATGCAAATAGATTGCTTTTGCCAAAGGCAGAACTAGAGAATTGACACCCAAAGCGCATTTACTGCAGGAATTAAGTTTGGTCACAAGCTGTGGCTTGCCTGAAGAGGTACAACATGACACTAGTTCCTCAGGGCCGATGACGTTCTTCATTCATCGTATTGCTAATGGTAATACAGCTGCCTCCCTGCTGTATTGTTCAGAAACACTGCACTGGCAGAAACTGTGTCTTTCTGAGCCTTCTAAAAGGTGAACTGTGGTCACCTCTGTCCTCCAGAGGGAACTACAAAGTCTTAAGCTAGACCCTTTAGGTCTAGTTTAACAATGGCAAATCAGGCTAATGCTTGCAAACACACCGTGTTCTGCAGTGATCTGTGCTGAAGCACTTCTGAAATGAAATGAAATTGTGCCCTTACAGAGGCCTAACACTTGCTAAAAACACTAGGTGTTTTAATAAGCTGATTTTCCGCTTGCTTGGAATTTATTGCAAGACCATAATGCTGATAAAATGTAGACCATCCTCTGGGTCTCAACAGACTTTGGGTCTGTACAGGCATATACTCAAATCCTATCTTAACACAGCTGAAGAACATTACTACTTCATACAACGCGGCACTGCTTTCTGAGTGTAGGGAGATCATCATCTTAAGAACCTTACTGATTCCTACCTTAATTTTTCATGCCTATTTCTTAATCCTAGTTTCACACAAGTTCTCAGAACTTTATGCAGAAAAGATCCAAGTTGTACAAGGCATGCACAGGATAAGCCATTTAAGATCCAGTTATGGTGCGCTAGATGTGAATGCTGCGTACAACTACTGCCAACAAAATACTTGCTGGCCAAGGATTTGTGGTTTAGGTCACACATAAAAAACTAGCCAATACAAATACAAGTAGTGGCCTATACATGCAAAAGTATAGAGCTAAAAGTACATTATAAGCACCACTTTAACTGCAGTCCGAAATAAAATCTTTATTTTATGTATATTATTTTATGTATAAGCAGAGGAGCAGAAGTATTTAAAATAAGTCTTGCGTCCTCATTCAGGATTACTTTACAAAGTTATATTTTCAGCCTTCATAAAAGTCATACAAAAACTATTTGTCACAACATACTCCAAAATATAGCAGATTTAAAGCATTTACATTTTACGTGATCCAACAGTGCAATATGCACTTAAATTTGAAACCAACTTCCTGATCAACAATGTGTTGTAATTAATCTAAAACATGATTTACCACTCAGTTGTTTTGTCAGGGTTTTTTAAAACAAAGTCAGTTTCTAAAAGACTAACTTAGAGATTTTAACTTAAATCATATTTAAGTTCCACACAGAGCAGTTACCCTGTTTATTCAGGGCTGACATGTGATTATGCATTGCTAATTGTATTGTTCTTCAGAAAAAGCAGTATAGATCCCTGCATCCTGCAGAAAGCCAAGCCAGCTGATGCTTGTAGATTACCAGTATTGAGAGCCCAAGAGTCTTGGAAAGGGACCTACTGTATCCTCTGATAAAGTTAACTTGCTAAATTAAAAATATGCTACATAAAAGTAACAACATGCTAGGCTCTTGGTTAGAGCATAAAATGGTCCAGTATAACAGCTATGCTTTGGTGTTTGTTTAATGTCTGCTTATCCCAAGGTACACCACACATAACTTGGTGACAGTAAGCCACAGGCTTTCCAACACTGAAAGCCCAAAGCTGAGGTAACAGCAGAGAATTACGCAGTTGTACCACCACAGGTACAGCCAGTCTTTTTACTTGTGCATCAGCTGGACAAAGACCTTCTTGACTGAGCCAAACCACAACTGAAGCTAAGTTCACTTCTATACCAATGGCAATTTAATACCCATCCGTTCAGGAATGTGCAGTAAACGAGGCTTATTTTGCATCACCACAATAGCTAACTCATGTTCTTTGACAATTTTGTAAGAAATGGAAGGATAAAGTATTAAAAACATTGAGGTTCCACAAACAGAATATAAGGGGAGCAAAGCAAACAAGCTTGCAGCAAAAAAAAACCTAACACATAATACACCAAGTTTCAGTCCTACACAGAAAACTATTTGTTGTGATGTGCCAGAGCTTTGTAGTCTGCAGTGGAGCAAGCTACCTTTTAAAATTCCAGCCACCAAAGCTGTATCATTTAGCCACCATACGTTATTTCACACTGCAGCTTTTCATACTGCGTTACCCAGAACTGGTACTTCAGTATTCATGCTCATGTTAATCAGCACATTCTTTTCATGGAAAGAACTATTACTCTAAAAAGATCTTGGAAGACAAGTGTTACATGAAACATGGAAGTCCATGCCTGTCTGCAATCCCTCATCTAGTGTGGAAACTATGAATAGTGTCACTATCTCCACAGATACCACGTGATCAGCGGGTTCAGGAGCCACAGATCATAGTTCACATACCCAACTGTGCAGCACTTCCTTTCAAGCTTTGTCCTGCTTCAGTTTCAATATAACACAGGGCAAGTTACACTGTTGGCGTTCACGCACTTGGTGGAAAAATACCTGCCCCACTTGCTGGGGCAACAGAGGCCCCAGGAGCAGAATGGGCATGTGTCTTTACCTTCAAAATTTAAGCTGATAAAGCACTTTGGAATACCTCCAATAATTTCTAAACATTCACTTTATCTGATTTTTTGTATTCTATATACTTAATCAAGACACTCAAAGGAAAGTTTATAATAGCAGTCTGAAGGACAGTGATTATCCTTCTATTTCTCCAAGTCCTACTTAGTTCCCTTATCTTGGGCTTTAGTAACAAATGGTGCTTTGAACAGGGCAATGGAAATGTTACTCCACAAGGCAAATATAACAAAAAAATTACAGGCAGCATCACAGATTTTATTTAAAAATACTCTGAGTACACGAGTACCACCTCCTTTCAGGTTTTGTTTTGGTTTCTTAAATCTTGTCATATTTTCAGGTAGGGAAGAAAAGAGAGGAAAACCAACATTGTTCATGAAAGCCCAAGTGAAACACTCAAGACAGAGTGGCTCATGAATACACTACTACGTAATGAACAAGCCTGCAATTACAACCGTCCTATTCTGCTGCGATTAAGTTTCTTGCTATCGGGCACTAAAATTTGTTTGCAGTTTTCTAGATTTCAGAGAAAAGTTAGTTAGTGTTTGAGGTTCACGGACACATGACCATTATCATACTGCTGCCTAAAGAATCAGTTGGTCCCGAACTAGGATTAACTGGAGCGGGTGGGAAACAACCCATTAGCAGAAAATAGACTACTGAAGCAGTCACAGCAGTAGTGTGTGACTACTTCACTACTACTGTGAAGTGTACTGAACATCCATGCTCTGTCCTGTATGCAGCTGACCACATGAGAAGCTCAGTCCTGTTCAGTCTGTTTTCAGCAGGATGCACAGAAGGCTG